AGACCTGTTCCTCGGAACAAATTGCGCCGGACACACAAGCAGGCCAATGACTTTGAAACAGGAAAGCAGAGTTACCCGTGGGGTTGGGTGGGAGGGTGCGGTCTTAGCCACAGATGGACGTGGCTCACCCCTGGAGCCGGAAAGGTGGGCCCGCATGAGCCGTCGGCTTGGTGCCAACCGTACGTTACCTAACATATTTATTTTCTCTGCGTTCGTGTCTGATGGGGCAAGAGGCCTGTCGGGAGTGGCTATTCGACAGTGTCAGAACAAAACCGAAAGTTATAAAAGAGAAGAAACAAACACGAATGCCCCCTGTGAACTTTGCAGAAAGAGGGTTGGCAGCAAACGGAGAACAGAACTGGGGACAGACACCCAGGGGTGCAGCCTGGGATTGTGGGGCCGACGTGCCCCCTAAATTCTCTCCAATCTGGCCTGGCACTCACAGATCCTGCCCCGCGACTCCCTCCCCGAGATCAAAGTGAAGGGAGAGTATTTGAGAGGGGGAGGGCAGAGGCTCTGGCCCTGCCCTATGCAGCTGGGAGGGGCCGACGGGACTCACTCGTAAAGCTCCAAGCAGGAAGTCTGCAAAGAACCAGACTCAGGCGCAGCGCCCAGGACCTCACGGCAGGGACTTGCCGGTGCCCGGGGGAGCCATGGCCTGGCCGGTGCTCCTGGGCTGCGTGTGGCTGTGGGCAGGGCCGGCGCTGGCTGAAGTGGGGACGTTTGATAAGTGCCAAGATTTTTTCTACAAAAAAACCAGTCCCAGCGGCTTTGCTAAGGCTGACACAGCCAATATCTGCCAGCGGTACCAGAACCGGTACCACTTCGCCACCCTCTACAACAAGGCCAACCGCATCCCGCTCTGGTCGGCCTACACCCTGGATGGCAGCCGGTGCTCACAGCAAACTAAAAAGCGCAGCAAGTGGTTCGTGGAGCCCCAGGTCGGTCCCGGCGCTCGGTGGGAGGAACAGAGGGGGCGGGAGGGAAAGGAGTGGAGAGGGAAGGGGCAAGTGTCACAAATCAGGAGGGAAACGGCACGACGAGTCCAGGGAACAGGAAGGCACATGGGATGAGGTCCCAGGAGAGTTGGGAGAAGGAGCTGGATGGGGATGAGATCCTCGGGATGCGGGGGATAAAAGAGGGGGTGACCCAGGGCAGGGGGCACAGGGGAGGGGAGGTCTCAAGGGAGGGGTCCCAGAGTACAGGAAATCCCGGGCATTTTTCCATCTAGGGGTAGAACCATTTTCTGTCCGTGCATCAGGCCGTACAAGGGAATCCCCCAGAGGAATCCCGCCTCGGTCTCCTTCTTGCAGGGCCGCCCAGAGGATTCAGGGGGGCCGGGGTGAAGCAATTTCGGGGGCCCCTTCCATAAAAAAATGTTGCCTTGGAAAAATGGCCCTACTTGCCCCCACCCAGGGCAGCTGAGCCCCGGGTGCTGCTGTTTGTGACGGGCGACATCAGGCCGTACAAGGGAATCCCCCAGAGGAATCCCGCCTCGGTCTCCTTCTTGCAGGGCCGCCCAGAGGATTCAGGGGGGCCGGGGTGAAGCAATTTCGGGGGCCCCTTCCATAAAAAAATGTTGCCTTGGAAAAATGGCCCTACTTGCCCCCACCCAGGGCAGCTGAGCCCCGGGTGCTGCTGTTTGTGACGGGCGACGGGCTCTGCCAAGGACACGGGGGGATGCCCCCGAGTGTCGGCAGCTCAGGAAAAGCCAAAAACTTCTGACCTTCTGCGTCCACAGCTGTCGGATCAGAACAAGTCCCCAGACATGACGACAGAGGCTGAGTCTACACTGAGCAAGGACGAGCTGAGATCCAGCCAGGCCGTCAACGAGGACTACGAGGACACGTCCTACGACCGGGGACACCTGAACCCCAACGCCTTCCAGTGTGATGAGAGACGCACGGCCACCTTCACCCTCACCAACGCCGCCCCCATGGACCCCTGCTTCAACCGCATCCTCTGGTACCAGCTGGAGAAAGCCCTCAAGGACCAGCTAACTGTGAGGTGCACGTCTGAGGCCAGCACCGCTTACCTTGTCACAGGAACGGTGCCCAATGGCGAAGTGAAAATCCCAAAGCAGAGCGAGGACGAGGAAGGGGACCGTAGCCGGCCCTTCAACCAGGTCTCGGTGCCCAGCCACGTCTGGACGGCTGTGTGCTGCGATCACAGGGACAGCAGCAAAGAATTCTCCTTGGCCTTCCTAGCCGAGAACCGGGAGGAGTCCAGTCTTCAAATCATCCCTGTGGAGGAGCTAAACGCAGAGCTAGCCCGTCTGTACAGAGCTTTGGAGCCCCTCAGCATCTTTGCAGACGACTGTGGCTCCAAGAATGATGAAGTCGAAAAGGTTGCCATCGCAGTGAGGTCCGCCTTGTACAACACCTTTCAGACCCTCCTGTCCGAATATTACTCCCAGCTCCTCCCGGGACGGAAGAGAAGCCGACTGGACATGGAGACCTCCCGGGTGATGGGCAGCCAGAACTTGGATCAGAACAGCTTGGAGCTGGCAAACATCCGGTTCACGGCGGGTTTTCCCGACTTGTCCGAATGGCAGAAAATGTTTACGAATTTGTACAACCAAGACAACCTAGCCTGCGTCCTGACCCCTCGGGCTGCGGCTCCTGGGCTGGCAAAGGATTCTGGGACTTCAGACAGAGTGTGCACCCTCCAGGAGCAGAAGCACCTGCCAGGCTCCCGTGTCACCGCCCAGGGGTGGAGCTGCGTGGGGGCGCCCTGTGGGTATTACAGATACTCCTACAGCTGGTGTTACACGTCTCACAAGAACCACTGGGATTACTGCTGCACAAGCAAGTGCTCGGTGAGTCTAAGGTCAGGGCGGTACGAGTGCTCACGAGGACACGGCTCCACCACTTCCTGCTCCCCCCAGTACTCCACGGTGACTGTCTCCAGGACGCCCTGTCGCGCTGACCATCCCTGTGGCCTTTATGGGGAAAAGTACTACTGGTGCTACACAGATTACATACAGAACTGGGAGTATTGCTGCTCCCCCCAGCACTACTGCGGGTATCACACCTACAGCTACCAGTGGTGTTACACCAAGGATGCAGAGGGGTCCTGGGAGTACTGCACCCCATAGAGGCCTATATGTGGGGCAGGGTGCGTAGATTGCGAGGGGTCATCGAGTCCTGTCCCCTGCCCTCATGGCAGGCCCCAGTACTGTCTAGACCACTGATTCCCAACCTTTTTCCCATGGAGGAACCCCTAAAATAATTTTTCATATCCCAAAGAGCCCCTACCTATGAAAACGTTTGCTTGGCCGGAAAAAGTTGACAGCAGGAAGCTCAATTCAATTACTGCTACATTTCGGTATAAATGTAAATTACAAAACGGCGCAAAGACTACGCATCTACAAAATAGCGAAGTACCGTAACGTGCACTGGACAAGACTAGAAAGGTGCAGAATTCTGGGAAGCAGAAGGACAGGCACAATACAACTTAACCTAACCTTAGATAGGAACTGACCAAAACAAAACAAAGCAGCACTTGGTAGTGTACGAAGATTACGCCAGTATTGCCAATTGCCGGACAAAAATTCCCGCGATATTTCGAGGGATATTTGGAATTGTTCACGGTATTTCAAAATTCTTATTTATTTATTCCACAACAATGGTCCGCAGAACCTTAGTTGTGAAACACTGGTCTAAACCATCCCATAAATAACAGACATTTATCTAACCTGCTCTTCAATATCTCCAGAGATGGAGATTCCACAACCTCCCTGGGCAATTTATTCCAGTGTTTGACCACCCCGACAGTTAGGAACTTTTTCCTAATGTCCAACCTAAACCTCCCTTGCTGCAGTTTAAGCCCATTGCGTCTTGTTCTATCCTCAGAGGCCAGGAAGAACAAGTTTTCTCCCTCCTCCTTCTGAAACCCTTTTAGATACCTGAAAACCTCTTATCATGTCCCCTCTCAATCTTCTGTTTTCCAAACTAAACAAGCCCAATTCCTTCAGCCTTGCCTCAGAGCTCAAGTTTTCTAGACCTTTAATCAGAGTGGATGCAATCAAAGTTTGTATGAGGAGAAAGTAAATAATAAAAGTTATTTACTGCTTCCTATAACACAAGAACTAGGGATTACCAAATGAATTCAAGAGGTAGCAGGTTTCAAACAAACGATGAAATGCGGTGCCCAGAACTGGACACAATACTCCAGCTGAGGCCTAACCAGCGCAGAGCAGAGCGGGAGAACGACTCCTCGTGTCTTGCTCACCACACTCCTGTTCACGCAGCCCAGAATCACGTTTGCTTTGTTTGCCTCTGTCACACAGCTGACTCATATTTAGCTTGTGGTCCACTATGACCCCTAGATCCCTTTCTGCAGGGCTCCTTCCTAGACAGTCGCTTCCCGTTCTGCATGTGTGAAACTGATTGTTCCTTCCTAGGCGGAGCACTTTGCATTTGTCCTTATTCAACTTCATCCTATTGACCTCAGACCATTTCTCCAGTTTGTCCAGATCATTTTGGGGTACTTATAATTGTTTTTAAAGGGGGTACTTTATAAAAAAAGGTGGAGAAACAATGCTCCAAAGCACTTGCAACCCCTCCCAGCTCGGTATCATCTACAAACTTAATAAGAGTACTCTTGATGCTGATATCTAAATCGTTGATGAAGATATTGAACAGAACCGGTCTCATAGCTAGGAGGGCCATGGGGGATGCATTCCTTAACACTTGTGAAAAATCTAGGGTACAAAGTCCATAGAGTCATGCTTGCTTTTTTGCAACAGCATCACACTGTTGACTCCTGCTTAGCTTGTGGTCCAGTATAACCCCTCGATCCCTTTCTGCCGGACTCCTTCCTAGACCGTCGCTTCCCGTTCTGTGTGTGTGAAACGGATTGTTCCTTTCTAAGTGGAGCCCTTTGCTTTTATCCTTATTCAACTTCATCCTGTTGACCTCTGACCATTTCTCCAGTTTGTCCAGATCATTTTCAATTATGTCCCTATCCTCCAAAGTACCTGCAACCCCTCCCAGCTCGGTATCATCTACAAACTTAATAAGAGTACTCTTGATGCTGATATCTAAATCGTTGATGAAGATATTGAACAGAACCGGTCTCATGGCTAGGAGGGCCATGGGGGTGCATTCATACCCTTGCCTTCTACTTTTACCAAAAAAGCACTCCTCTCAGAAGCTCCTGCCTATGGGCCTGCTTATTTCCCGAAAAATACTGTACATGGCTGAAAAATTGGTTGAGCAAGAGTCACTACACCTTTAAATCCACACGCTCCCCCACACCCATAAGTTCAGGCCAAAACCAGATACCTGACAACCTTCCCTGATCCCCGTAAAATGCCCAGTGTTAGTCCAGCTGATCTGGCTCTCCCACACCAAAGCTTAGATGAAACGAATCAAGAGGTTGCACCTCTCTTCTCCGGCACTGCCCTGGGTTTTTCATCCCCGCCCCACCTCTTTCCTGCTTCTACTGCTCCCTTTCTGAAGTTCAACACTACAAATCAACACTTAGCCAGCTGGTCCCCAGCCTGTACCAATGCTTAGGATTCTTCCAACTCAAGGGCAGGACTCTACACTTGTCCTTGTTGAACCTCATCCGATTTCTTGTGGCCCAATCCTCTAATCTGTCTAGGTCACTCTGGACCCTATCCCTGCCCTCCCGCGTATCTACCTCTCCCCCTAGGTTAGTGTCATCCACAAACTTGCTGAGGGTGCAATCCATCCTCTTAGCCAGGTCATTAATGAAGATGTTGAACAAAACTG